CTTCGTGGTAAAGTACTGCATACCCTGATACAGAGTTTGCAGGTTCGAGTCTTGCTGTGGACGTAGAGATAATGTTTGTTCATATACGAGTAAGTGTGTGGGACTACCCAGGTGTTAGTGGACAATGCTATCCATATGTGTTAGTGAACAGCGCAATCCATATATGTGTTAATGTACAATACTACACACGTGTAAGTATACAGAGCTAACCATGTAAGTGTACAGTGCTACTCACATAAGTGTAAGTGCACACACAGTGCTACCCATGTAAGTGTAAATACACTCAGAGCAACAGCTAAAGAACACTGGATTTCATATCAAATGTTTCAGTGTGTCAAGTACGATGCCAACGTTTAAGGTTACAGACCATGACCTCAGTTAAGAATGAATCAAGCCTGTACAAACCTTGGCTAGTATTATGTAAGGAAAAGTTATCTTGTTTATATAGTCGCCGACTCTTAAGATATTTCTGTCCACTACTGACGAATTAGGGACTACAATGTGGGCATCTGACCATCTTGATACATTATTACATATTCTTGTGGGATTAAATATGGTGTTTGATTCTTGCACTGTTCGGATCGAGTACTTGTGTTGTGTTAACCTGGATTCTTCCCAATGTAAAACAAACTAGGCACTTGTGTTCCACTCCGACTGAGTTTGCAAGTGAGTTCCTGCATACAGAATGTTCTTAACTGTCCCTGAATTCTTGAAGACTACATGTATGTTAAATATTTTAAGAGAATTATACTGAGTCCCTAAATTCTCGTTATTTGGGAGCACCAGCAATTTTTTTTCCATGGATAGGGTTAATTAAGGCTCAGTCTTAAGCTGGGTCTTTAACGCTGCTGTCAAGGATTTTCCACAAAATTTTTGAAGCGTCAGTCTCGTTGCAATATCTATACAATTTTTTCGCAATTTCCTCATCTAAATACTGCGGACTGCAAGTCCATAAAGCTCTCAGAAATACTGAGAGAAATACTCTCATTTTTAATTTCATTTCATGACTAATAATTGTAGACGAATGGATGGATGAGCACACAATCCAGACATCCAGGAGCGATTTCTTTCTCAACTGTGAATTGAATGTGACCAAGGTCGCTGTGTCTCAGTAGGAAAGTATTTAAATCCTGGGTTGATGACCACGAACAAAGGAGATGCATCCAAGAATATAAACTATTTGGCAGAATATTTTCCAACAATCTTGTCTCAAAACAGTTCCATATATATATAAGCTGCTAAACACGCTAGGACAATGAATTACGTATCCCCATGCGATGTTTTTAGGCATAGTACTTTCCATTCTGTTCTGGAGGGTGTTTGGGGGGTCAGCGCCCCCGCAATGAGTTAGAGCCTGATGACCTAGGCTGCTACCGTTGGTCGCACGCAAACTAATGCATAAACCACAGCCTGGATGGTCATGTACTGACTTTAAGTGTCTGTCCAACGCCACCTTAAAGACAGCCAGGGGTCTATTGGCAATCCCCCTAATGTATGCTGGGAGGCATACATTAGTCAGATACTATGACTCGAGTGAACAACGCAGTGACGTCAAAGATTAAGAAAGTGAAGTCAATCGGCTTTTACAAATTATGAAGTTTCTCTACAAGATTTACAATGAATTATTTTCTAGAGGAGCATCCGGAATGTTGCTCACCATTAGGGTTTAGCTCTTTGACCAGCCATTAAAGAAGATTCTATACAGCAGATCTGACAGAACTAGTATGAGGTCACACTGGAAACCCTTGTTTATGGGACTCACCCAGGAGCTATGAATCGACCCCTGCAACCACAATTAGGTGAGTACACACACACACACACACACACACACACACACACACACAGGTGAGTACAAACACACACACAGCTTTAAGAAGAGGTCAATAAAAACCTTGGAGCAGGAAAAGAGTAGACCTAGTAACGACCAGAGAAGAGGTGAGGCCAGGAGCTGTGACTCAACCCCTGAAACCACAAATTGGTGAGTACAAGACTGGTTCCTATTGCACGGTACATGTTAGGTCTAGCGGCGGTCTCAAGACTGACGCCCTCTGGCAGACCACAAGGGCCGGTCTTGGGACACCCAGTGTTCCAGAAATCTTGGATTACATCCGTCATGTGGGCATTTCTCACAGAAATCTTTGACTTCATGGAACGTCTTCTGAAAATCTTGGTATGTTAAATCTAGCCACCCTGTCTATTAATTACAGAAATGTTAAAATATGTTAAAACATATATGTAATCTGCAAACATTCAGAAAGGGGATTTTTTTTTCCGTTTTATGAATAAATTAAAACTAGTTGTGGAGGCAGGGGCTGGGGAGGCAGGGGTATGGGAGGCAGGGGCTGAGGGCTGGGAAGGAAGGGGCTGGGGATGCTAGTGGGGGGGGACTGAAATTACGCAGCCCCACGGAAAGGAAATGACCTCCTTTGATGTGCTGTTAAGGATGCCAGGCACCGTGCCACAGCCTGGAGCGGGAGGGGAGAGGGAGGGAGGGGAGTAGCGAAGGGGGGTAAACAAGGGAAAAGAAAGGAATATAAAATTAAGAGGGTAGCCCAGATGTAAACAACAGTGAGGGAGAGCCAATTAAATATCAGGAAAGTGGAGGCAATGAGAGAAAGAGAGAGAGAGATAGAGAGAGAGAGAGAGAGAGAGAAACAGAGAGATTGAGAGGGGTGGAGTAACCGCATATATTAGAACAATACACAAATAACTTGCACATAGGAGAGAGGAGCTTACGACGACGTTTCGGACCGACTTGGACCATTTACAAAGTCTGTAAATTGTCCAAGTCGGACCGAAACGTCGTCGTAAGCTTTTCTGTCTTGCATGCGCGGGTTGTTTGTGTGCACGGTAAAGCATGATGGCGACGTGCTCACCTCCACGTAACTACCAGTGTCGATCATTGGGACCCGCACCTCTTGATCATCGTCGAACTGACTTCACTGCTCACTTGGCTCTCGTTATACCTTCTCTTAACCATCATCAGTAGGGAACTGAACTTCAGAACCTCTTTATTCAAGTCATTCCAGTTCCCTACTTAAGACCGAAGGAATAGTCTTACAATGGTCCCTGTACCTCGTCTGTGTTATCTTCCTTCTGTTCCCCCTTGTTCTTTGTTACTGGAATTTATTCAGTCTATCGTTATCCTTCCTAATGTAAGAAATATCGCTTCGTGTGGAATACTGGGATCGATCTGGGGACCTGAAAGACACGAGAATGTCACCAGACTGATCAGGTCACCTTGAAGATGACTAAGATACAGGGGCAATATTTAGGAATCTTTATATCCGACAAGTTTAGCTTGCACAGTAAGCTTATTCAATCGATTACAGTGGCCCCTAAAACCGGAGACAACAGAAGCACTGGAGAGGACAAGACGTGATGTGTCCATCAGTCTTGAAGAAATATTTCATATCACTTCATCTCTTCCTCTCCATAACTATTGATATTTTCTTTTATTAGTCACCTCTGTATCAGTCTGAAGAAGGCTACTGTGTAGGCGAAACGTTTGCGATATAAAGATACCATGCTGTTACACATGTGTCTTAATCATTTTCATAAAAATACTGAATACCTCTATTACAAAGTCACTCGCTACACAGAATTTTCCGAATTTGGGCTTGTTATTGTTCACAGCAGTGTCAAGGCCTCGCTTGTTGCTCGTATCACATTTTAAAGTGAATTCGACACCTCACGGGCGTCGTGGATGAGTTATGGATCATACGTCCATCGCTCCTGTCCAGGAAATGAAGACTACAGTTTTCTGGCTCGCTAAATTTGCAGACTCATTGACCTAGTAAGTACGACAGCGGTCTCACGGCAGGTTTTCACATGGTTTCAAATACTCTTTACACAGCTGTTTAATTACACTATATATATATATATATATATATATATATATATATATATATATATATATATATATATATATATATATATATATATATATATATATATATATATATATATATATACACTTAAAGAGGATTAAGCCAAACAGGATGACTTGGAAGGTCTATAAATCTGTAGTGGAGGGAAGGCGGGGTAGGGGTCGGCCTAGGAACGGATGGAGGGAGGGGGTAAAGGAGGTTTTTGTATGTGAGGGGCTTAGACATCCAACAGAAGTGAGTGAGCGTGTTAAACAAGAGTGCTGTTGGAGTGCAAGTTAACATTTATGAAGGGATTCAGAGAAACCGGTTAGTCGGACTTGAGTCCTGGAGGTGGGAAGTACAGTAACTGCATTCTGGAGGAGGGGTGAAAATATTGTGGTTCGGAGGCTTCTCAAGTGTAGTATCGGAGCCCCTCTGGTAAGACAGTGATGGAGCGAGTGATGATAAAAGTGGTTCTTCTTTTTTCTGGTTAACCTGCCTCGGTGGGAGACCGTCGTGTGTTAAAATAAATACAAACACCTAGAATTATTTTTCTTTGTTGTGGTCAAGTAGCGGTTTGGGAAGCGAAGTGTAACAGAGTCATGTAATGGTAATGGTTATGGTGGTGTCTGAATAGTCGTACAGATAAATGTGGTGGCAGTTAAGGGAGCAGTAATAATAGAGGTGAATGTGGTGGTGGTGGTATTGGTGTTAATGGTGGTGTTTGAGGTGGTGGTGACATGGGAGGAGGTAGCGGTGTTGGTGATGGCATTCGTGTTGATGATTTTGATGGTGTTGGTGGTGGTGGTGGTGGTGGTGGTGGTGGTGGTGGTGGTGGTGGTGGTGGTGGTGGTTTAGCATATATTGGGAATCACATCTTGCCGCAGATCGCACACAGCATGCAGACAGCCACAGCTTCCTGGTATCACACTGCTTGCCAGACACCACACACGAATGGCTTGGTGAACCTACAGCTTGCTGGAGCCAACAGACTGCTGGATTCTCTAGAATGCTGAAGAAACTAGAGCTTGCTGAAAAAAATGTAACTGGTTAGAACCCACAGCTCTCTGAGGGGCCCAGAAAGGTCGAAGCTCTCTTAGAGGGACTTAAAGCTTAATCTCTACCTTTCAGAACGACCTCCACCGTGCTATGCAGCGCTCACAGTCTGCCCTCAGCCAGCAGCTTATGATCCTCTCAGCCACCTTCATGTGTCTTGTATTTACCAGGTGAGTCCCTTGTATTCACTAGGTGAGTCACTTATATTCACCAGGTGAGTACCTTATATTCACCAGGTGAGTCCCTTAAATTCACTAGGTGACTCCCTTATATTCACCAAGTAAGTCCCTTATATTCACCAGGTGAGTCGCTTGTATTTCCAAGGCGAATGAGTCCCTTGTATTCACCAGGTGAGTCCACATGATATCCCTTGAGATCACATGAGTTATTATGAGGTCACATATGTTCACATGACATAACACAATGCAGTACGAGAACACTTGGGGCCATGCAAGATTAAATATACCATCATGGGACCATGCAAGATAAAACATAGCATTATGGGACCACGTGAGACCAAGACTACACAAGACCACACCAACCCACACAAGACCACACCAGACCATACAAGACCACACACACACCAGACCACACAAGATATGTGGTCTGGAGGAAGGTATCAAGTGGAAATAACTCTTATAGCAATATAACCAGACCCCAACATGTTGAACACTCGTTAAGTTCAGCTGTCATACCAGCAGTGTTCTTACTCTCTACAGTATTTAAACCATCTTGTACTTTTAAAATTTACGATAGCTGTAACACTCACAACTTCCTCTTCTAACATTTACAATGGTTGACTCAGGAAATAGTAATGACACGATTGCAAACAAACCATACCACGGGCGGGATGGTATGGTTTGTTTGCAATCGTGTCATTACGATTTCGTGAGTCATGTTGACGGCATTGAGGGGACTTGAGCTAGAGTTCGTCACGGCCACGCTAGCTCGAGATTCGTCTGTAAAAACTTGCATTTGTGGTCACAGTGGTGCCTATGCTAACCTTCCTATGGTGTAGAAATATACCTAGTTGGACGAATCTTATTGTGGCTAGCTGGTCTAGTGGCTAACGCGACGGTCTGGAGTTTTGAGACTCTCTGGCAGCGGGTTCTATTCCCGCCCGTGGTATGGTTTATTTACAGTGGTTGTAGCACTTACAACTTCCTCTTATAACATTTACAATAGTTGCAGCACTTACAACTTCCTCTTCTAACATTTACAATAGTTGTATCACTTACAACTTCCTCTTCTAACATTTACAATAGTTGTAGCACTTACAACTTCCTCTTCTAACATTTACAATAGTTGTAGCACTTACAACTTCCTCTTCTAACATTTACAATAGTTGTTTCACTTACAACTTCCTCTTCTAACATTTACAATAGTTGTATCACTTACAACTTCCTCTTCTAACATTTACAATAGTTGTATCACTTACAACTTCCTCTTCTAACATTTACAATAGTTGTAGCCCTTACAACTTCCTCTTCTAACATTTACAATGGTCGTAACACTTACAACTTCCTCTTCTAACATTTACAATGGTCGTAACACTTACAACTTCCTCTTCTAACATTTACAATGGTCGTAACACTTACAACTTCCTCTTCTAACATTTACAATGGTCGTAACACTTACAACTTCCTCTTCTAACATTTACAATGGTCGTAACACTTACAACTTCCTCTTCTAACATTTACAATGGTCGTAACACTTACAACTTCCTCTTCTAACATTTACAATGGTCGTAACACTTACAACTTCCTCTTCTAACATTTACAATGGTCGTAACACTTACAACTTCCTCTTCTAACATTTACAATGGTCGTAACACTTACAACTTCCTCTTCTAACATTTACAATGGTCGTAACACTTACAACTTCCTCTTCTAACATTTACAATGGTCGTAACACTTACAACTTCCTCTTCTAACATTTACAATGGTCGTAACACTTACAACTTCCTCTTCTAACATTTACAATGGTCGTAACACTTACAACTTTCTCTTCTAACATTTACAATGGTCGTAACACTTACTCTCCTTTTCTAATTTTCTTCATTGTCTTAAAACTGCGGTAAAACTTTCCACAATGTTTCAGCACCGGCGGTGGTATTTTTTTTTTTTTCAGAGAAAATTATGAAAACATCTCTTGATTTATGTCTCTGTCATGTGATGATCCTCTCAGAAGAACTTCTGGTCATAATTCCGAGGCTTTCCAAAAAGTTTCCAGTCCATCCATTGGACTGAGATATTGTTTCCTTCCAATAAAAGGTGTTCCAGGACTTTTGTGCACAGCTTTCCGAAGTGTAATGCCCACTCAATGATACTGAGAGAAAATCACATTGATAATGAAACGAATAGAGAATCTTGGCTCTAAGATGTGTGTTTTCTGCAGCGTGTGTGGCATCCAGCACTTCCAGCGAGCCGGCCACCGGCACCTCAACTTGTTCCAGGCGGTGTACTACGTTATCGTCACCTTCTCCACGGTGGGTTACGGTGACTTTGTGCCGGACATCTGGCCCTCACAACTCTTTATGGTTATCATGATCTGCGTGGCACTCATCGTTCTTCCAACTCAGGTGAGTTATTCAACACTCGGGTGAATAAGTCACTGGAATGGTATATAAATAGTTCAGAACAGCAATAAGTTGATGAAGTGAGACACCTGTGAAACACTTGGGTATTTTATTGTGGAAACATTTCGGCAGCCAGTGCATTCTTCAGTGCAATACAGAGAAGAATAGTTGAAGATCTGGAGTTTGAGGTAATCAGTTCCTTCGATGTGTTCAGTCCATCAATCATGGTAAAAGTACATAATTTATCAAGCTTCAGGGACTGATTACCTCAGACTCCTTCTGATCTTTAACTATTCTTCTCTGTATTGGACTGTGGAAGCCAGTGGCTGGCGAAACGTTTGCATAAGTGTTGGACAAGTGTCTCATTCATCGAGTAACTCACTACAGAGATGAGATCTCATCTAACAGTCAACTGACTGCTCATACAAAAACAGAAATGTGTAACTCTCGTGAAAATCGGGTAAAAAATAGTTTTTTTGGAGTTTATAAGTTTCATTTTTCAGTCCAGTAATTGATACCGAAATTTTCCTCGACATTTGAAGTGTGCCAGTGTTATTTTTTAAAGAACTGACGTATATTTTTGTTATAGATTTTCAGAACAGTGAGTGATTCACCCTTGATGTTTATCAACTGCAACCTCAATAATATACTGAGCCTTGATGTTTAACTAGATAGGGTCGTGTTGAGAAGGTTTGGATGATGCTTTGAACCTAACCTACCTAACCTAACCTAACCTAACCTAACCTAACCTAACCTAACCTAACCTAACCAAGCCCAGCCTAACCTAACCTTACCTAACCTAACCTAACCTAGCCTAACCTAAACCTAAACCCAACCTAACCTACCTAACCTAACCTACCTAACCTAACCTAACCTAACCTAACCAAGACTAACCTAACCTTACCTAACCTAACGCAGCCTAACCTAACCTTACCTAACCTAACCTAACCTTACCTAACCTAACCTAACCTAACCTTACCTAACCTAACCTAACCTAACCAAGCCTAACCTAACCTTACCTAACCTAACGCAGCCTAAACCTAACCTTACCTAACCTAACCTAACCTTACCTAACCTAACTAACCTAACCTTACCTAACCTAACCTAACCTAACCAAGCCTAACCTAACCTAACCTAACCTAACCTAATCAAACCTAACCTTACCTAACCTAACCTAACCTAACCTAACCTTACCTAACCTAACCTAACCTAACCTTACCTAACCTAACCTAACCTAACCTTACCTAACCTAACCTAACCTTACCTAACCTAACCTAACCTAACCTTACCTAACCTAACCTAACCTAACCAAGCCTAACCTAACCTTACCTAACCTAACCTAATCAACCTAACCTTACCTAACCTAACCTAACCTACCTAACCTAACCCCAACCTAACCTAACCTTACCTAACCTAACCTAACCTTACCTAACCTAACCTAACCTAACCTTACCTAACCTAACCTAACCTAACCAACCTAACCTAACCTTACCTAACCTAACCACCTAACCTAACCTTACCTAACCTAACCTAACCTTACCTAACCTAACTTAACCTAACCTAACCTACCTAACCTAACCTAATCAACCTAACCTAACCTAACCTAAACCTAACCTAATCAACCTAACCTTACCTAACCTAACCTAACCTTACCTAACCTAACCTAACCTAACCTAACCTAACCTTAAAACCTAACCTAACCTTACCTAACCTAACCTAACCTAACCTTACCTAACCTAACCTAACCTAATCCTAAACCAACCTAACCTAACCTACCTAACCAACTTAATCAAACCTAACCTTACCTGACAAACCAACCTAACCTATACCTACACCATAACCTAACCTAACCTAACCTTTCCTAAAACCTAACCTAACCAAGCTAACCTACCTTACCAACCTAACACCAACAACTATAACTTAATCAAACCTACCTTAGCCTAACCTAACCAACCAACCTAACCAACCAACCAACCAACCAACCAACCAACTAGCCAACCGGGCAAACAAGCAACAAATCAACCATTCAGCCAATCAACAAACAAAATAAGCTACCAACTTAAATACCCGACATACCTAACATGTGTCTAATTTCCCAACTTGTCAATTGTCTCAACCATTTATGTACATTATTATCAGACACACCAACATCTTGGGATCTTGACACAGGGAATTCTCTACTTGCCTAACCTATAGTCATGACCAGGCTGTTACTGGTGGCAGCACGTAATCCAGCGTACGAACCACAGCCCGGCTGGTCCAGGTACTGACTTTAGGTGCTTCTCCAATGCCTGCTTCCACCTGTGGATTTGCCCACTGTGGTACCACCTACAACTGCTTCACCTCTCCCGCCTACAGTATATAAGCCACTTCTTCGGGCATATATTGTATTATTTTCAATATTGATGAACTGATTACCTCAAAACTCTTCTGTTTTTCATCATTCTTCTATGTATAGGACTGATGAAACCACTGTGTGGCGAAACGTTTCCTGAACAAAGATACCCAAGTGTTGCATATGTGTGTAATTCATCTACTGGACCATGCTAAGACAGAAGAAAGCAAGACAATGGAAATACAGAAGATATGAATAGGAAAGAAATGGGGGGGATAGGAGAAGGCAAAAGCCAAGTCAATTTACTATTGTTTCGAACATTAAAGCCAGAACCAAGACGGACTGTTGTTAAGTTTTTAAAGACTGGATCAAAACTTCTCCAGACTGAGGGACTGACCCCCTCAAAACTATGTCTTTAAGGCTAATAGACTAATGATATCGTCTGTCTCTACATCTCTACAGCTTCTGCTCACTCTTCTCGACTGAAGAAGCTTACTGTATGGGCGAAACGTTTCGGAATAAAGATATCTAACTATTGCACATGTGTCTACATGCCATTTTAATACTGATAAGAAAATCTCTCAGGAAAAGCGAGTTTGAGATAAGAAAGACCATTTATCACGAGACAGTTGATAACTTGGAGATAAATGGCATAAAATGTGGATACGATGGAAAAATAAACACAAATACAGTATAAAGCGATCCTTTATTGACATCGTTTCGCCCAAACAGTGGCCTTTATCAAGTCACAAACAGATCTACCTGGGTACAGAGTATATGAGTATATATAGTGTGGAGAGTCAGGTGGAGAATATTCAGTAGGTCGTATTTGAGACGAACCTGTGAGGAGGACACAGAGAAAAACGGAAACAACAGTAAACGTTTCCTAACAGAAGCATGGGTAAAATACATACCAGTGTGGATATATTCGGTATATATATATATATATATATATATATATATATATATATATATATATATATATATATTAATTCCAATGAGAAAAGGCTTCGGCAAACCTCTGGTTCGGTTCCCAAATGGAAGGAAAATATGAGAGTGCCCACAAAGTGGTTGTCAGAGACGTCGTAATTCATATTTTTTCCTCTTTCTTGCAGAGGGGATTTCAAAATGATTTAAGTCTGCCAGACGACTTATAAAATCACCCTTTGTTTAACTCACCAGCGAGATGGTACCTTTGTTCTTTGATGCGCTCTCTCTAGGCTCACTGCTGCTGCTGAGTTATTATTATTATTATTATTATTATTATTATTATTATTATTATTATTATTATTATTATTATTATGATTATTATTATTATTGTTATTATTATTATTATTATTATGATGATATTATTATTATTATTATTATTATTATTATTATTATTATTATTATTATTATTATTATTATTATTATATTATTATTATTATTATTATTATTATTATTATTATTATTATTATTATTATTATTATTATTATTATTATTATTATTATATTATTATTATTATTATTATTATTATTATATTTAAAACTGCAGCATACATTTCCTTGACAACTGGCCCATGCTGGGAGGTTCCTTCTCAAATTCAACCTCTTCTTAGCAATCAACTTCAACATTCCTCACCTGACACTTCAGTTCGCTACATCCTCTCTCTCTCTCTCTCTCTCTCTCTCCTCTCTCTCTCTCTCTCTCTCTCTCTCTCTCTCTCTCTCTCTCTCCTCTCTCTCTCTCTCTCTCTTCTCTCTCTCTCTCTCTCTCTCTCTCTCTCTCTCTCTTCTCTCCCTCTTCTTCTCTCTTTTTTACACAGGTTTGACAAGGTTAAGGATCCCTAGCTTTATTGACAAGCTATTTACAGGTTAAGGATTCCTAACTTTATTGGCAAGCTAAGAGCTGTTACCTACATCAGCTCATTTGAAAGCATTTTTATTGTTATGAGACATACAAGTAGGGAACAGGATGAAGTTGGAGCCATCTGTGGGCCAGCATTTTCATTTGATCAACTGACTTTATCTAGTTGACATCATGATGCTCTCTCTCTGTCTCTCTGTCTCTCTGTCTGTCTCTCTCTCTCTCTCTCTCTCTCTCTCTCTCTCTCTCTCTCTCTCTCTCTCTCTCTCTCTCTCTCTCTCTCTCTCTCTCTCTCTCTCTCTCATGTCTGGCATAGTGACACTCTGACCGGCCTCCTGGCTGAAGGTCTGGCATAGTGACACTCTGACCGGCCTCCTGGCTGAAGGTCTGGCATAGTGACACTCTGACCGGCCTCCTGGCTGAAGGTCCCATCCTTCATGTAGATTCTCTCTTTGACTAAACAGAAAATAACACTAACTTTGATTTTTATTTTTCTCCTGTACTCTCCCCTACCCCCGTTAACCTATACTCTAGCACACCCTCTTTTATTTATTATTATTATTATTATTATTATTATTATTATTATTATTATTATTATTATTATTATTATTATTATTATTATTATTATATTATTATTATTATTATTATTATTATTGTTATAATTGTTATAATTGTTATTATTATTATTATTGTTATTATTATTATTATTATTATTATTATTATTATTATTATTATTATTATTATTATTATTATTATTTGCATTTGAATTGAAGCCTTTGCGTGAAAAGTGCGAAGTTTAGGAAGCTGAGAGAGAGAAAAGGAA